GGATCTTATTTTCCGTATCATCTCGTTCGTAACTAGCATCACAAACGAGATAATTGAAGTGTGAAACTTGTTCTACGTGGTTTAGTTTATGTACCGCTCTTTGAAGTTTATTTTCATCTTTTTGGAGGATTATAATCTTATCAGCAAACAACAAAACGTTTAGGTGGGTATATCTATCTAATTGGATTCCATGGTTAACTTCTGGTTTCCATTCTGATTATTTCTGAAGTTTTACTGGCGTCAGTATTAATTGTGATTGCAGTATTTTTGTGAATGCTTTGAATGGCATTAACCAGGTGTTGTGGATATCCCCTTTGAGTCATAATATTCCTGAGAATCTCTCTATTCACTCTGTCAAAGGCTTTTTCAAAATCAATGAAAGCCATGTGGGTTTCTTAATTGAATTCCCTTCTTCTTTCAATTAATAATTTCAACGAAAAAATGTTATCATTACACGATCTTCTTTACCGAATGCCATTTTACGTTTCCTGAATCAGTACTTCTGTTATAGCTTTTAGTCTTTTATTTAAAATTTTTGAGTATACCTTATAAGAAGAGTTGCATAGGCTTATACCTCCATAATTTTTGCATTCATTGCGGTTCCCCTTCTTAAAAAGCGATATAACTTCTGCTGTGTTCCATGCTTGAGGAATTCTACATTCTTGCTAGCATTAATTTATCAAATGTAATAGCCTCAATTCAAAAAAATTCCAGCATACTTTAGAAGTTCCACATTAATCCCATCTGGGCCAGTTGCTTTGCGATTTTTAATGTTTTTAATGCATATTTTATTTCTTTAAGCGATATATCATCTACCATTGAGTATTTTATATCTTCCACTCCCTTATTATTCTCTTCTATGTTTGTTTCATCAAACCTTTCTTCCTCACCCTTACACCATAATTCCTTGTAATGTTGAGTCCATTGTTCTTCTTGTATAGTGTTTAACCGCGCTGTATCCTTTTCTTGTTGATTTAGTTGTTTTAGGATCTTATAAGCCATCATTTGACGACCGTGTATGTCATAATGAATGTCGCTAATGAACTTGTCCCAAGCTTGTTTAGCAATCATTTTGGCATAGTTCCGTTTATGTTTATAATATTCTTTGGATTCAGTCGTATTTTTTGTAGATGGTTTAGATATGCTTATTGTTTTTCCTCTATGGCTTCTTTTATTTCATCTGACTAATAACGTAGCCCCTTCCTTTTACGATTTTTTTTTACCTAGTGCTTCCATTGCAGATTGCTCTATACAAATTTTTATATTTTCTCATTCTTCATCAATATCCTCCTTAGTTGTTAGTTTTGCTAGGTAATCAGTTAATCTTTTCTGATAGATTTTTCTCACGCTGTTTTCTTGTAATAAATATGCTTAAAAAACTTATTGCTTATTGCTGATGTTATTTATTTTGCGATTATTGGTTTTTTTCATTTGCCCAGTAGAGTTAGTATATTCGACACTACTAAATAGTGATCGGAGTAAACGTCTCTGCCTCTGTATACTCTAACGTCTTGTACCAGGGATTTTATCCTGTAATTTGCTGTTATGTAATATATAATAGATTTATAACCTCTTGCTTTATATATATATATATATATATATATATATATATATATATATATATTCTAAAAAACGTGTTTGTAATTTTGAGATTATTAAGTGTAGCAATTTGTCTAAGTTCTGCTCCATTTTCATTCATAGTTGATTCTTCAAATGTACCCACTGTTTCTGGTATTGGTGTATTCCAACTCTTGCGTTCAGATCTCCACAAATCAGGGTGTAATCACTCTTATTATATTTATTTAACTCTTTTTGATGTTTATCATAAAATTGTATTATATCATCTTTTCGACCTTCTTCTCGAGCATAGACTCCAATGACAGTTAAATGTCCTCGATCTATTTTGAATCTAACAGATATTATTCTGTCATTTACATAAGTGTATCTATTTATTTTAGATTTCCATTTGTCCTTTATTAATACAGCTACACCACTGCATGCTCGTTTGTTTTGAGGGACTCCACTATAAACCATGATGTAGTTGTCAAGTTCTATTGTACCTTTTAGTTTCTTTTTTGTTTCAGTTATGATCGCTGTATATTTTGTGTTCTTCAAGTGCTGTGGTAAGTTCTGTTTCCTTATGATCTAAGCCTCTAACATTCCACGTTCCTATTTTAATTCTATCCATTATACCAAGATTCTTGTCCTTGACATGCCGAGGTCGTTTTCCAGAATTTCTATCCGGCTTCACTTTGTGAAAATTTTGAGTAGTTTCATTTCACAACAGGCTTTGCCTGAGGCAAAAATCTCGTAGTTTTAAAATGGTTTTTAAAAAAATTAAAAAACCCGAGCATTACCCGAAAATGAGACTAGTGCCATGTTTTTCATCGTCTTAATGTAAAGTAAAGAAAATTTAAAAAATAGAGCGTTTTTTAAAGATTTTTTTGTAAATTTCAATCGCAAAATAGGCAAAATTACTCTTTTTTAAAAAAAAATTGTACATGACCTTTTTAGAAGAGTTTACATTGTACGACAGACTTTGTCTAAGACAAAAATATTTCTCCAGTTTTGAATTTTGAAAATTTGTTTTTCCAATTTTCGAAAATTCGGGGATGTCAACGAAAATTAGACCTGCATCATTCGCTTAAACATCCTTTGCATTATTCAACAACAACATTTAATCAAAATATTTGAAGCCCTTTTTTGAAAATTTTGGGAATGTCCCAGTGTCTACACGTAAAGTACGCCCCAAAATAAAAATTTCAGTTTCAAATTCCAAGGTCCGCGACATCAGCTAGAATGATTGAGGAATATCATTTTTGGAGCAAATCGGCTGAACTGTTTATGCGCTAGCGTTTTGCACAGACTGATAGACGTTTTGCCGTCAATCGATTTTCGGTATCAAGGACTCACAAAACATGGATTCTGGTTGCACTACGCGTTAGAGGATTTCTTTTCTATATTTAACTGGATTTATTCACTTTTTCTTGACCAAGGCCCGACAATAAGAGTTTTTGTGACGAAAATTCCCCGTTTTTCGGCGCACGATTGCAATACTTTCTCTTCTTACGTTAGTAAGTGCTGGATGCTGATGTTTAACTCGTAGACCGAAGGCTGAGGCGTCGGGATATACTTGAACTCGCGTACCGAGGCGTCAACTGTGCTTTAAATGTTCGGCAAAAAGTACTTTTGAATAATATGCATTAGAATTTACTAGTTGTACAAACTCAATAATATTTTATGTGCGTAGACCAAAAAGCCTCGTCATGAAAGTGGACATGTATAGTCAAAAGTCGATTCGTTCTAAAAAGTTTGAGGTTATAAACAAAACGTCGAGTAGCTCGTGGATCCCTGCACGTTAAGGGAGAAAAGGCGAATAACTTACTGATAAAAAAGCTGTAAGTTCTATAAGACAACCCCAAGAGTTATTTTTAATACGGGGAAGCAAATAATTACACATGGCCATGACAGAAAACAGAAACTTAAGACGAACACAATAGTCTGACACTGAATTGGAAAGGGATTAATAACGTTTATAGACTAATTGTAAAACAAACTTCATTTCAAGATAAATAAAGGATCTAAACAAATAATAGCTAAATTCTTGTAATCGTTATTAACTGTGAACGATCGTAATAGAACTCATTTTACATTTTAAGTGTACTAGGAAAATTACCAAACACCGTGCTGGGAAGGAGGGGGCAGATGTTAAGAAGTGACTTTTGTAAATTTCTTATTACATTTTTTATTGGCATTCATTCTCGAAAGAAAATTTGTTATTGTTATTATTATAAAACATTTTAACGCAACTAATACATAGATTTTTGGCGATAGCCTTTTTATTTATTATTATTAATTATTATTATTATTATTATTATTATTATTATTATTATTATTATTATTATATTTTATGTTTACGAGGTAAGTACTGGTTCACTTGTCTATTTGTTTTGGTAAATAAGTATTTCACTTCTCGAGTATCTTTTCCCCATGTGTTGCAGTGCATTATCATGAGTCCTTAATTTTTAAAATGTCTCAAAACCTTTTGGCAACATACATTTCTCTTTATCATTCATGAGGCATAAGAGTTGCATTCCAAGATAGTACTTTTTCATATTTTATTTATAAATGAGTGGCGAATTTTTATCATTCTTATATAAATCGATATGAAAACTATTAGATAATGAATGTTCATACATAATACGAATAATTCAATAAAAATAACTTACCTTTCCACTGAGATAGGGACCCGAGCTCGGAAAATTCACAATGTGATAAAAAGAGAAGTTATAAATATTAATACAAACGGAACAGACACTCGTCTTACGAAGTCAGCATTACGATGTATTGCAGAACTATTTGAAATCCTACCGCTCTCTAACGAACAAAAGAAAAATTATCATGTTTTTTAAAGTCATTTGTTATTATTGGTCTCTATGTCGTCCATAGAGTAGAGATATACTTGTTTGTATCTCTCCTCTATAGCGCCGCCCAGGAGACGGTATTATCTTTTGTTTATTACACTCACCTTAAAACAAAATCCGTCGTGGAATGGGACAGAACAACTATCGCAATCATATAATTATTACGTTAACATGTTTTTGGAAAATGCACAACTGTCTGTTGTACTTCGCGGCTGCTGCGAGTTACAGGCCAAGCAAGAATAAATAAATATATATTTAAAAAAAATAATATTGGCAATGAAGCCGAAGATCCGAGCGATGTCATTTTTTGGCAAATAATGTTTTTGCTGTGAATGTAGTTGAAACATGATGAAACATTATAATAATTGAAACTATCTTCACTACTTCTCTAGCCTAATAGAATTTTGTTTTACTATGAGAATTTTGCGAAGGATACTTCAATATTTTATATTTTTACGTTTGTTTTTTTTTTAATTTTAGGAATGTGAAGTATTCATTTTTTTAATATAATATTAGCGCCAGAGAAAAAACTGTTGTTACTCTTCGGAAGTTACTAGGCGTATACGCTGGATGAGTCCACTTGGATGTTAAACCACCAGAAGATCTCTTTGATCTTCCGCGAGAGCGAGTGCATCTGCAGCTACCTTTTTGATGAGGCGGAAACTAGATCGCATAATCTCCTCCACCAACTTCATGCTTCTGTGCTTTTTATTTTACTAGTAGCCTATAAAATGAATGCATTTTAAAACCGTGTGACCAATCGGCAAGTCATATGAACTGAGGCAATAGAGAACATTTTTTCATTTTTATTTCCAAACTAAAATAATGTCGTAAGTGCCCTTTTTAATGAATAAGAAAATTCCTGCCTCTCGTTGGCGAACTACGCATCACTTTTTTTTTCATTATAAAACAAATGGAAGGGAATGAAAGACTTCCCAAAAGACACCAAACTTCTGATGTCAATGATCACAGATTACGAGTAGTATTTTAAAAATAGTTTAGGTAAGGTGGAATATTACGAGCCAATAACAATTGGCTTCCCAATTGAATGAAAGTTCTCGTCTCCCAACCATACTTGACCATCTTCCTCTTCTCAACTCTCAACAAGCTCTTCCGACTGAATTAGCGGCGGTCAGCAAAACAGCGGAGTATGATGCTGTAAAGGAATGAGTGTGTGTGTGTGTGTCTGTATGTGTACTCATCTGAGATCTTGCAGGTTAACTCCAACGCGGCTCAGATAATAGTGAAGACATCAGGAAAATGGAATTGCAATACATTAAACTGTGAACAGCCCAACACGCCTCAACAACTGCCTTCTCTTGCGTTAATTTGCCGTTTACAAGATGCTCATAAATTTCGTAGTGTGTTTCATCTCAATGGAATGTCAGTTGGAATAACAGTTGAATTGGCTACTATGGTCAAGAGAGAGAATACAGCAGTCTTTGAAGAGTGAAGTGTGATTATCCTGAATATTTCTTGGTTGATACGACTCTTTATCTATCTTTATTTGTTAAAATGTGTTTTCCTCGTGAAGAAATACAATTGTACTTTTAAACAAGAGACTTGTGGTTAGTGTAGTGTGTGTTTGGTACATTCTCCCGTCATTAATGAAAATGACGGAATACAAACTTGTGGTGGTCGGAGGTGAGTGTAAGCGCTCCCATATTACTTAAATAAATGAACAGAAATAATGATAAATAATTTACTTTGTGCGTGGCATTTGGAACTACCCAGGTATGGCAAGAGCGGCAACAATTTTGCCGAAAGAGGGAGGTTATGTCATACCAGTTAGATATGTTTTATGTAGAAAAAAGGAATTAAGTAAAAATGAAAATCTATCAGTTCGATCTGTATTTATATATTCAAGTGAGTGAAAAGTGTATTTAATGTGAATTTGTTGGAATAATTAGAAACGTTATTTTAACCATTCTTACTTGAGCAAACAAATGTCAGGATTTTGGAAATTGAATCCATTAAAAAAAGTTTCCCTTCATCATCACATAATTACATAAAGAAATGTTTATAGTGGAAAATATATCCAACCTGTTTCTCATTGTTGTACAGTTTGTGTTTGCCTTGGTGAAAATGTCTCATTTTCTCAATTTTTACTTATTTCAGCTGGAGGTGTTGGGAAAAGTGCCTTGACAATACAGCTAATACAGAATCAGTAAGTTATTAATTTTACTTGAAAGTAATGTAAGGTCAGTGTGGTATATCATATTCTGGCTTTTACGTTTGATAATTAATGATTTAGAGTTTTTATTAAATAATGTTGATATATATTTATTTTCTTTTACAGTTTTGTTGATGAATATGATCCTACAATAGGTACGTATTGGTGTGGATTTAAATATTTACATTGAAGTAAGGGTTATAGCGAAATGTTTAAAAATATCAATGTGTTTTTTTTATAGAGGATTCTTATCGGAAACAAGTAGTAATTGATGGAGAAACATGTCTTCTGGATATCCTTGATACTGCTGGTCAAGAAGAATACAGGTACAGAAGAATTACATAATAAATTAATTATTTTCATCAAAGATAAAATGGCCATTTTCTTTTTATATTATATTCCTCGTTTTCTAGTACTGTAGTTTATGACATAGAATTGCAGCACTAATTTTAGTTACTAAAAAATGAATATCATCAGAATAGAGTGAATGTTTTGAATTAAATTATTTAAAAATGTTAAGTAGAATTTTTTCCTGATATATTATGTTTGTATATCTGGTACAAGTTGAATCTTGTGATTCTATAACACTCCTCTCTACTTATGCAGTGCTATGCGTGATCAGTACATGAGAACAGGAGAAGGCTTTCTCCTGGTGTTTGCCATTAATAATGCAAAATCATTTGAAGATATAAGTATGTATCGAGAACAAATAAAGAGAGTGAAAGATGCAGAGGAGGTGCCCATGGTCTGTAAGTATTACATGTAACTTAGCAAATGATTTCCAAATGTTCCCATTTCTATTTCCTATTTAATTTGTTTGTTAAATTTATTTAAATAACTCTTTGCAGTGGTGGGCAATAAGTGTGATCTCCCAACTCGGGCAGTTGATACTAATCAAGCAATGGATGTAGCAAAACAGTACATGATTCCTTTTATTGAAACATCAGCCAAAACTCGATTGGGAGTAGATGAAGCCTTCTACACCCTTGTTCGAGAAATAAGGAAAGATGTAAGTAATAAAACTCTTATTCTGAAGATTTGTATACTTATAATTATTTATAAATACTGCTTAATTGATTGTTTTAGAAAATGCATCTGAGGAAGCCACGCAGAACAGTGCGAACTGCAATACTCGGTTACAGACGAAAACCATGCTGTCTCTTATAATTCTACAGAGTACCATCATAGCATGGGACGACTAATCTAACATTCATAATTCTGACATTAAATAGTAATGCTGTGATGGTAACTTAGAAATATGTGGACCATTTAAAGCAGCATGAAATTTTGCATTAAAAGTGAACTTCAGTGTAAAAGAAGACAGGTAAAAAGCTTGAGAATTGTTGCATGGCTCAATGTTACTAGGTGTGTTGCAGAAATATCACATTCCATTCCAATGGAAGAAGAATGAGTAGCATTGTTAACTTGTAGCGCACAAGAGAGAATTGAGTGATGAACATTAAATATTCCCTCTATTTTGAAATTTTTTTGGGGGGGAGGGGGGGGGGGATTCCTCCCTTCAGTATTATTGGTTGCAGTTTGCATTGAGAACTTGAGAGGATGAAGAAATTTGGTGCATTACTTCCCATCTAGACAGGGTTCTCAAGAGGAAGCTGTGAAAACCACGCACAGTTGAGCATTTTGAAAATAAATTGTTGAGTAATTACCGATATATTGATCAGATATTGACGAGACTGGAAATTTTCGTGTTGTAGCCAAACATGCTGATCAACATAAATGAAACTTTTTAATGAAGTTGTTATTATGTAATTCTAGACTATTTTGTCAAATTTTATTATGCCATATCAGTTGATGCAAAAGTGTCTTCTTGTAGCAATTATATATACATATAGATTATATATATACACACAACATATAAATATATATATTTAAGATAAAAGGCCCTCATGTCCATGCAATGGAAGTGCAGTTTGATTTGGAAAAAGTAATCATATGCCAAAAATTATTTCTGTTACAAAATTGTAGATATTGCCTAAGAGGCAGATGAAAACATTGGATCAGGAAACTGCACTGTTATATGTTATTGTTGTATAACTTTACTCCTGAACACAAAATCAAGAGCAGCTTGAAATTGTATAATTTTAAATCAGAACTCAGGATTATATGGAAACAATCAAAAGGTTTAAAACTGCAGAACCAAAGAGAGAACACTGACAGTAAATTTATTTCATTCTTTTTTGTATGTTAAAGAATGACTAAATAGCTGATAATACTCTAGAAACATTGTTTCTTTCCATCTCAAAATATGACTTTCCAAGAGGCAGCAGGGCATTCATTTGTGAACTGTTCATTGTGACTTATTAAATTGTTCCCTGTAGTGAAGTGTAAAATTCTTTTACCTCGTGTTCTCAATTATTGTCCTGTTTGTAATGTGGAGTTTCGCTCTTGGCCAAATTTATTACTTCTAGTCCAAACCTTGCATCCATGAATCTAATCCACATTCACTTTCTGTGTAATTTCCATTATCTATCTTTCCTTTTTGATACCAAATATAAATGTTTGCATGAATATCTGGGCCATCATTTTATCTTCAGGTGCTGAAATGTGTCATATTACACTCAATTTGCATTTTCAATGAGAAGTTCTCTCTATATGAATCTAAGCATATGACTGAAATGGTTCTGTACTCTATGAATGAATGTTTTGTCACTTCTTGTATTTTACTATGTAGATTTGTGTTTAAAAATGCTACAGATCTTTGTTGAATGGTTTCACCAAAACAATTACTGATGTCTTGAAGTTACTATATTGTCTTTGGAAATGGAGAGCATGTAAAACTCTTTTCAGGAGGAGACTGATCTCTGATTACTATGTGCATTTTACTATTTTGCAATATTTTCACATATCTTGAAATTTGTGAACCTCTCCATGCATGCCTTCTTTAACATCGTACAACTACCGATCTGTGAAAAATGATCTTTTTGACATTTTTCAAATGCTGAATTTGATTAAAAATGAAACCCTTGTATGTATTGTATTTACAGTTAACACGTCTCTACAAGTACCTTGAAATAAATAAATCACTTTTATTTTATTTGTACAGTTGTATTATTTGCGATACATTTTTCCTACAATCTATTACAGAGTACTGTCAGCACACTATTTCATTCACAGTTGAGTCTAGGCAAATGATCATATTTATAAATTCAGTTATTTGCTTCCACGGCACATTAGAAATGTAAGACACAATGATAAATGTTGTCAGGTATTTATCATAATAAAAAGGTATCTACTTCACCAACAATCCAATTAATGTAAGACACAATTTTATTTTCAAGCATTTATCTCATTTGTTAAACAGTAAATCATTCTTTTGGTTTTAAAATATTTTATTGAGATAACATTTACATTAATGCCTTCCCCCCCCAAAAAAAAGCAATGAAAAAGTTAAATTTCGATTATTAAAATTGATGCCATTAATAAATAGACCTAGATTAAATACCTGTCCCACTAAATTATCTCCTGGAAATTTTAAATAATCATTAAAAGGCAAACTTACAGGAATAGTGGAAACAAATGGACTGATAGTGGGTTTACTTTAAATAGGAGAAAATTCCATACTGATGCAAATTGAGTCTAAATCCTACAAACTCTTTGGTTTCCTTTCTATGCATTTGCGTTGTACTTAAATTGTGATTTTTTATTATTATTCCTAACAACAATTATTATCATCATCCATTGACATTGGGATTTTAAAGTTCATTCTAATTCAAATTCTGGTCATACATATAATTGGAAGTTTTCTTGATGGTAATTCAATTTGTATAAAAAAAGCATGCGAAAAGTCAAGTGTGAGGGAAATAATGCAGATGTCTGCAATAATTGAATCATTTTGTTTTTTTACTCTGCTAGTTAAGAATTTTTTAAGTTATGGGAAGAAAAACATAATTAGATACATAGAGAACTATTGTTTTTTTTTTTATTTCTGATGCATAAATCTTGATTGAGAATGCCAGAGACATGTAATTTACTTGTATCAATGGTACAAAATTTGCTGGACTTCTTTAAAAGTTTATGACTTGCGGGATTTCAGAAACTAATCAGGAATTTTTTATCAAATATGTAAATAAATACACATTGCGGGTTCAATTTGTAATTTGAAACATTTATTACAATATCATGTGAAATAATAATGTGCAACTACATACATCAAACATCATTCATAAGATAGAATCAGGTGCTTGAAATATGTTTCTATGATGGTTTTTGTATTGAATGTCCTTGTATTGAATAACCAATTTCTGTCAGTGATATCCCAGTCACACACTGTATACATACATACCCCACAAGTCAATAACTTACAGAGTTTCAAAACCATACCAAAAATTTGCAGTGTCCTTGCGACCATTCTATTCATTTGATTTACAGGATCTACACTTGGGATGATGCATCTATCCTGCATCTTTGATGTTCTCACAAAAAGTGAAAATGAGAAAGAGAGTGACTTATAGAGTTTTAAAAATAACCGATTCAATTGCGATCTTTAATTTTTATTTTTTTAATTGCAGTTTGAATGTCTGAGGCTGAGATTAGATTGTGCTGAAGTGACAACTCGTATAATTTAGTAGAAAATGTAAAGAATGTGAGGTTTTTACTTCAATAATTAATTAGATTATTTGGCTTCTTGACCATTTAACAATAACAGACACACTAAAAATTTTAAGAATAAAATTAGAAAAAAGTAAAAGTTTGAATTAACTTCACCTATTCTCAAACTACTTCCATCACATAATGTCACCTCTTCGAATACAAAAGGTATGGTATGATCAGAAGTAATTAAAATTTTTGTTCAGAGTGATGACAGACTTGAATTTGACTTCTTTGGCTGATGCCTCTATTGAATTGTTAAGCATTTGCTTAAACTATTTTCTTGAATATTCAATATCTTGCTTTAGAGATAGGATCACTAAATCATCTTGCAATTGAAATTGATGTTTCTTTCTCATAAGAGAGAAAGAAAAAATCACAGAGGGAACATTGGGACAAGTTCTTTACAAAGACTCAGTCATAGTGTTTTACTGGTGGTGTGGATTGAGGTGTCAGATAACAGAATATTTAGAAAATTACTTAGGCTTGACATCACTTTCCTCAGCATGTTTCTCACCTTACACTCCTATGGAACTGGAACACCTTACACACCTATGGAAACACACTATTGGAACTTGGAAAGAGCTGTTTTGGGCATTTTTGGCCTGCCTTGTTTTGGGCCAAACCAGTCTTTGTTTTCAAGGGAGTCATTCGCTCTTGAAATCCATTAAACCATGTTCTCATGAAGAGAAAAAGTCCTTGTATGTCTTTCAAAGCATAATATCTTGTCAAAGCAATTTTACAGATCAGGCAAACATTAAAAATAATGTTGGTATTTACGAATTGTCGATTGTCAAACATTCTTATGTTTTGTACTATATGAGTACATTCTGATTATCACTCAACATTCTTTTAAACTTTATCACTAAATTTAAGGTTAATGAAAATGCATAATCTAAACCAAGAAGACATCTTCCTATAGGCCCAAAAAAATGCTAGCAGTCTAGGATGTGTAGGATAGTCTAGGATATGGATATGATACTGTATGTTGATGGATGATTTGATATGGATGAACTGTATATTGTGTGTAATAATAAACTCTGAATATGATACTAAATTGCTTATTTTTTATGTACCCTATTTCTGAACACCCAAAGACAAGTTATACTGGAATATACACTTACATTCATCTTTATGTAATAACTACAGCCCAGAAGTTTGGCAAAATGCCTTTTTATTATTGTTACAATTTTGACTTGTGACAATAGGAATCACTTAATTGTACATCTGGAGTTGTTTAAGTAGATTTTCATTTTGCCTATTCTAGCTTTTGATGTCTATTTTTGGCATTTTGCCTTATTTGTGCCTTTTTCGTCATTGGTTTCCTTTTCCCTCCTGGCACTAATCTCTATCAAGCAGGAATCATGCCTGCAATATTACAAGCAAAAACAAAGATATTTCTCAGAACATCATACCTTATTTTTATAATTCAATTTTTTGCTCAACTTCCACCTGTCAGATTATAATTGTTTTGAATGGGTCTAGACATTATATAAAATTCTTATTACTCAAATTCTATTCTCTTGGCTCTGTTTTTTGTTGACTTTCGGATTTTAGTAGCCTTCTTCTTCTTGATCTTTTTCAATGTATCAACTTTATAAAAAAACATGTATCCAGGAGTTTAATTGAGATCCACTAAATATGGTTACTATTAACATGTATAAGAAATTAGTAGATTACTTGGCATTGCTCAAGTATTTTGTTACCACAATCATCTACCACTACTACATCTGCCTTCCCTCTGCCTGCATTAGATGCATTGAGTGTTGCACGTCTACTTTCTTTGTAAATGTCATTGCATTGCCGCCGCCCCCCCATAACGCAGCATGCGTTAGCCCTAAAGCAAGTACAAGTATAGTACTTTTCATTGTAAGTAAAAGGAGTACCACGTTTAGTTAAAATTGCTCAATGTTTATGCAAAGAATTGTACCAAGTTTAGTTATACTGGAATATACACTTACATTCATCTTTATGTAATAACTACAGACCAGAAGTTTGGCAAAATGCTTTTTTATTATTGTTACGATTTTGACTTGTGACAATAGGAATCACTTAATTGTACTTTTGGAGTTGTTAAAGTAGATTTTCATTTTGCCTATTCTAGCTTTTGATGTCTATTTTTGGCATTTTGCCTTATTTGTGCCTTTTTTGTCATTGCTTTCCTTTTTTCCTTCCTGGCACTAATCTCTATCAAGCTGGAATCATACCTGCAAGCCTGCACAACTCGAAGGCATGGTCATGTATTGTCTTTCTGTGGATGTGCAGGCTCTAGGGGTAGGTTGTATTAAAAATCTCAAAGAGAAAGGTATATCAGTGAAGATTTTTGATATTTTTCATTGATGCTAACAGATTTGTTTGCTCATGAGGAACTCGTCCTATGTTTGAATAAAGCCTCACATCCCTTTTGAGGACAAACCTCTGTACATGATATACCCTTCTGAGTTCCTTCTCATTCACTGTTCCCTTCTGGAGATTACACAAATGCAAAGAACAAAATCTACATTTCCTGTTTTCAATGATGGCATTTTAAGATTCAAAAGGGAATCTGCAATATCATTTCATACAGGTAGTGTCACAAGTAAAATAAATTTGTAGACCTCCTGAAATAGTCACATGCAATCAAAATAACCTAGAAAAGGTGGTCTCTTTCCAGGAAGTGGTAATGTAAATTTTTGTTAGAATAAAATTGTGAATCATTTCAACTATTAATATTTTACAATATTTATTTTTAAATTACGATTTTTCAATGATTTCTGTGTTTTACATCCCGACTTAAGTCAAAATAAATGCCTTTCAGCCTGCCTATTTTAGGTAAAATAAATGCCTCAACTTCCGGGCTCTAGTAATAACTAAGATAATATATTTCTTTAATAAGCGGGTTTTTAAAAACCGGTGCAATATAATTTTTGTTGTGTACCGTTTAAAATTGGTGTCTCAAATGAATTTCTTTTATCTAGTTTAGCAATTAACGTACTTCCTGTCAATGAAATTTTAAGAAATTTGTTCTATCATGGAATCAAAGATAATTAGCAGCAAAAAAGACTTCGTAGTCGAAAATGACTTATAAAATATAAATGACTCCTTACTGACTTTTTCATTTGAAATAAAATGCCAGAAATATAGAATATAAAAGGCTACACTAATGTGCCACAATGTTTCTCAGCATATTCTCATTGGCAGAACAAGACAGGTCGTTTTTCAGATTTTCAGAATCACAATCAGAACTTTTCTTTGTAATATTTTTGGATGCAGCAGGTGTTATTGCAAGGGTTCCAAAATTTGAAAATAATGTGATAGAATTGAATGTTGAAACATGTAGCTCACTTTTTCACTTACTTACTTTTAGTGTTGAGTAGGTTTGTTCCACACATATGCATTATAATTTATTTCTTACATGGCACTATTATTTTTACTACCTCATTCAGGAACTGCATACAAAATAATTGGGTCACAGTGTTCATTACCTTTACTTCATACAAATATACTGCAGTATTTTGCAAAATTCGTTAACGGTATCAAATGTTATCGAAACCGAATTTTTGTAACAAAATGTATAACGTGAACTAATGCGCAAGATCATATATTGATCACACATTTTGAGAATAATTACTTTTTTAAGAGTAGGAATGAAAAATTGAAAGCCAAAGAAGCTTCCAAATAGTCATGAAGAAAAATTGTGAATGTTAATAAGACATATAGTTCCCACATTGAGAATTGAATTTTTATCCATACACATATAAAAAAAAATTAAATTTAATTTATGAAATGGATCTTAGAGAAAATGTTAGGTATTGAACATAGTGTGCAGAGTATTAACCACTTTAACGAAGATTTTTTTGCAAGAGATGGTTGAAATATAAGTGGAACTTGGGCTCAATAATTTAGTATAGTTACATAACTATAACACATGTTATTGAAATGACAGAGAGAACTATATTGTGGCATCATGATTGTACATTTGTATTTTGTGCAATTGACAAGGAATCAATTTATTTCAAGTTCTGTTATGATTTGGGCCTCTTATTTTTTGGGCCTAACATATTTCCTCTGATTTTAAATTTCTTAACAATTTTTTTTTGTAAAAAATATAGTTTTGTAAATACAGAAAAATTGCTGCTATACATTTTTCATGGCCCAAAATGTATCAAATTTTACCGAACCAACTTAATCTTCCTAATTTTGATCACCCTTTTTTCAAGGCAACCTTCCAATTTATCTTATTTTACAGTGTTTATAAAAATATTGGATTTGTATAATATTGATGTTTTCAATTTTGTGAATTTGAATACTAATTCCCATATTTATTGTCAAATGCATTAATAAAGCATTAGACAAAGCTTTTTCCTCAAAAAATGATTATATATAAGGGTTGTGATTTTATATAACAGTGTATTTCTGAAGTGTCAAAAAATAGTAATGCTAGCTGTGGAGCAGTGTAGTTTCTGGTTCTTAAAGTGATGGTAAATAATAATAATACACGATTGAGAACATTTATAGTATATGTAGGATAAGAGGAAGCTGTGGTATCTTAGAGATGTATATTAGCAATGGGATCGTGGATTGCATTAGGAAAACAGGGCAGTACAGTAACAAGACAGGCAAGAATATGAGAAAAATGTTCTGGACTTGTGAAGGTGTAGGCAAGAATTTGTAATGAGAGGAATATTAGTTAACATGTAGATGACAGGATTGGAAGGCTTTTGAGAGAGGTGGGGGAGACCACTCATTTCCTGTGACAAATTTCCCTGACTTTTCCTGGTTTTCCAGTCCATTTTGATTTTTCATTGATACGATTTGTCGATTATTTCACGTTATTCAAAAAATAATAATAAAACAATCCTGATAGTAATTTGTCACTTGTCTGATTTCACAGTGATGAATTAAACATTTAAAGAAAATCTTAACAAAAATTGAGACACTGTTTTTTTGCTGGATTAAATTGTTTAACCCAAGAGGGTCCACAATGTATCTTTCAGATAAAGCTGCAACTTTTTGTGAATGTGAATGATCTAAAGCTCTATTTACTGAAATATTGTTTTAGTTTGTACATGTCCCCCAATACCATTGTTAATGAATCACACAACAGAATCTTGTCTAAATACTTATGGTGAGAAAGGTAAAAATTGGCAAAGAACACGCAAAAATCATTAAACATCTTATTATCTTAATAAATAATATTAAATACATTTTGCACAAATGATTTTGGCATGTTCTAAACAAACATATTTTACATTTTTCACAAAAATATTTAGTAAGTGTCTTGTTCCTGCAAGTCTTGCATTTTTTTAAATTCCCTTACAGACGTCCCCTGCTCAACATCTTTCTCTTTTGTAATAAATTGTCACAGTTGATCCAATTGATTACTTTTACTGTTGGCACTTCTCATAGACACAGCTGAAAGTAATGAAACGACACGTACCGCTTATGCCAGGAGCTCAGAACGCATTGGCGACATTGCATGCAACGTATCTGCAGTGATTAAGTTTCAACATGCACACAGGAAATGATTCAATGAAAAATAAAAATAGAAAGCCAGGCGTTCTCAGAAAAGTACAATGAAGGAATACATGAAATACAAGACAACTAATGCATCACAATAATTCAGGAACATAAAACTGCCATGGCTTGGATCTCATAAATCTATTACGAGCACTCCCGGGTTAATGAATAATATCTAGTCATACAACCGTCTGAAAATTTCCCCCAGCTTCTAAAGATTCTTTTATGAATTCCCTGACTTTTCCAAAGGAATGAATTTCCCTCATTTTTCAGTTTTCTATGTTTTCCAGAAACTGGCCACCTCGAGTAGTAATAGATAATGAGATGTGTCTCTTACATATGCATATGTTATTTTGGCAAAACGAGAGGAAATAAGGTAAATGTTAAATGGTGAAATTTCTCAAGAATTAGATATGAAGTTGTGTGAAGAGTAAAATGAAGGTAAGTTCTAAGAGGATTAGAAGACACAGGACTGGAAAGGAGAAAGTATAGAGCAAGTAGAAATTATAGAGAAATCTGTAATTAGGAAATACTAGAAGAAAATAGCAGACACAAGGCACGTGAAAATGTCATAAAGGGCACAGTATAGTGATTAGGGAGGTACAGGGATTATAGGAAGTTTTAGTTGAGTTGTTGGCAAAAGAATTAGGATACTTGATCGTCTAATTTGTAACTTTTTGAAGAGGTGATGGGAACAAAGAAGAAAGATTTGTAAGACAATGCTTGGGATTAGAGAGGATCATGCCAGGAGTTAGAAAAGAAACAGAGAACTAAGTTAAGGGAAAAGCTAGGGGGAATAGCAGTAGGGTATGAGGAGGTTTTAGAAAGTGGAGGACGTGAGATGAAATAGCTACAAAATATTGAAAAGGGTCGCAGAAAGAATACATTAGGATGAGATCTAGATCAAAGAAAGAAAGGAAGCGGTTTCTTGAGGAAAGAGGCTATTCTTCAAGAGGTGTAGAATTGTTAAGCGTAAGTATTTACGTGAGATGTACGTTCTTTGGAGGGAAAGAGAAAATAAGATGAAGGAAGATTTGTGAAGGTGATGTGGAGTCATGGGTACACGTGATTGAAGAGTGTAGAAGATGGAGAACAGATGAATGGAAAGAATCTAGAGAGACAGAGGGTTATTATGTGATGATGGAAGTGGGGGGAGAGAGAGAGAAACAGTAAGGAAACAGAAACTAAGAGGCAAGGTAGGAGAATGAGTAGAAAGAAGTACCACAAATTATTAACTTTTGCAATTTTCAAACTTTCACATGTTTTCATGGAAATTGGTCTTATAAGGCCTATTTCAAATTCGCAGGACCTGAAGTGTACTCAGATTGATTGTGAAGTAACCATTTTGGTAACCATCCTGGGAATAATTTAGGTGTAAGCATTGTTCATAGATGGACGGAGAGAGTTTTCGAGAAAGAAAAAAAATTTTGGGCATCAAGAAACCTCAAGCTGTGCTTTTCTGTCCAAATCTTGTCATCAGTTTTTTGCTACAATACTTTCTCTATATTACAGATATAAAGAAGTAAGAATAAAAATACATTGTTATACATTTATTAAACAAAATATTCGATAAAATTTTATTTCAAGACCTTTTTTCTAATTTGGAAAACTGAATTCAAATGCATATGAAGAAATAAGACAGTTAAATTCTGTGAACATTACAGATAAAAATAACAGTTTTAAAGATGGAATTACAGATGGAAGATCGGGTAATGTTTAAATTAATGGTTAGGTTTGAACATTTAAAAATAAAAAGTTCACATATCCATGGCATATATTTCAAAAAAATGTACTGACTTGAAATCCAATAAAGTGGCCATACAAGGTCAAGAAATCAAATTGTGCCATTAACAACAATTTACAAGAACATAATTTTCCAATACCAACTAAAACAATGTAAGAATCTTGAGATAACATACATACTTCACATGCTGGACATTCACAATTCAAAAGAATGCTCATAAAATACTAGTTTAACACATATTACGTAAATGTCAAATTGAAAGATCAACCTTTTTTTCACTTATTCGTGGAATGTGCAAATAATGCTCATTAATTGAAAATCAAGTACTAGCATACTGTTTCAAAACAGAATTAACTTAACAAAATCTCACTTACTCATGATCATTTACTACAACAAAGCAAACTCCATAATACTTTGTTTTGTAAGTCCACAGCACAATGATCTACACTAGTAAAACTAAAACTACAAATGTACACCATAAAACCATAAAGTAACATTCAAAATCCCAAATGTGATTATTAAATCTATTGATGCATTTTAACGAGTGACTCATTGGACAAAGGTAGCACATTTTCAGTTTTAATGTTGTGCAAACCATTCCATTGAAAGAGTGCAGGTGCATCTCAAGAGAATACTAATAGAAAAGGTTGTTCAAAGCCTGTGAGCACTTATGTAATAGAAAATTACTCAAAGTCTCAACAGAGCAATCATCAATATTCCCTGAATTTGAGCTGACATCTATACTCTTTCAGTAAGTGCTAATATATTTTGTACAGAACTGAATAGTACCTTTTCATTTAACAAAATAACAGAAAGAAAAGAACATCCAAAAGCCACACACATACATTAGTGATGTTTGACCAAAAGGACCTAGACAGTACCACACCAACTCCCAAGGACAGGAAATCGTCAATTATCTCCAGTCACTTAACAACAGAACTTCTACAACACTGCACGTTTATGAAAGTTTTCAAGTGATGAACACTGTTTTACAACTCATCTTTAATGTTGTCCTGTTTATCACCTGAATCCAATTGCAGGCACACAGCAGGAGTAACAAATTCAAAAAAATATTCACATCTGTTGGGTTCACTCACTGATTTAAGAGCATGCTCTGTTCCGCAAAGCAATTTGACCTACGAAAAAATACACAACATTAATTCCATCTCTTTACATATAATAAAATTTATAAAGTAGTATTTAGAACAGCAAAAAAAATTAATGATTTAAGGAATCCAGCAGGCATACCAGTTATCAAATTCATTATTTACATCACAAGCATTAATCTGAGAGTTAAATTATTCAAAACATGAATAATATAGGAAATATGTAATAGGATACAGATAAAAAGAGCGAGAAAAAAAAAAAAAAGAAAAGAAAAGAAAAGAAAGAAAAAAGAAGGAAAAAAACATACAAAGAACGTCAGAAAAATGACTGTTGTTAAAATTACTGCTTCCCAGTTACAATTACTAAATTTCTGTAATTTATTTCTCAGTTATTGTTTACTTCCAGGGAACGAATGCCATTTTTGCTCGTTCTGTGTTACAGTACCAACCTCATGGATTGATTAACCCAACATAAGAAATAGGGTATTTTTGTAAGCACATGCAATGCATACCTGAGAGCACATATATCACTAGGGAGATTTCAATGATGTTGCATATTTTTACCTGTTGCTTCAGGGCATAACTCAGTGAAATTTCTTGATATTTGGATGCTATATAGATTAATATATTAGTGCATATTTGACCTATTTTTCCTGTTGGTGTATATTTGGGTAATTATAGGCACATACATGTTTTGCATATATTGCAAACATAGAGACTTATCTCTTAATCTGTTCATAGATTCTGTTTTTTATTTTTTTTTTGTGAGCTTTGGTGTGCTTCATTGATTAGACAGAGTGTGTGTCAGTGTAAGTTATTTTTCTATAGATGATAAAACACTAATGGCCATGTAGGATATTTCTTCATATCACATTTTTTAAACCAGGCAATAGAAATATGACAAGACATACTAAGGTGAAAACGTATTTAAATTATTTCTCCTGAAAAGTAAGGCAGATTATGTTGTGTTTGCACAAAAATATATCTTTTCAATCCAAGCATGCGTCCTGAATTTTATTGAGAAAAGTTTAAACAGGAAATTAAATATTGTAATTTTAATTGCATATTAAAGTGCACATTTAAGAACTTTTAATGCATAAATACATATTTAAAAAAGAAAATATTTCAAGATTTTTAAGGGTATAAAAATCATCTTCCTGGTTATCACATTTATAACCTAAACCTTGAAAGGTGATTAGGCACTTTGCTATACGTGTCCACTTTCATGTTGATGCCCACCTCTTAATAGAATTCCTGAATCTTTTGACCACCTAATTTCCAATGCATTTTATTCCAAAATACTTCATTGTCAAACAACCCTATTACACCTGACACTTACACTTGACGCATATTGACGTTCATGAGGGTTCTGGCTTCAGCCTAAATAATTCCCATAACAGATCCTTGAGCCTGTCCAACACATAATTGACACTAAACTTGGTTAGGCACCCATCTTTGTTGACAATACCACAGGAAATATCTCTGTTCGTACAATATTCATTAAGATCACCCATTATACACCAATATTATTCACTTCATTGTGCAGTGCAATTGCTGCACAGGTGGCAAAATGATTTAAGAAAACTTACTCTCTTTCTTTCTTTCTTTCTTTCTTTTTTTTTTTGTTTGCTGTTGTTGTTTTTTTATTTTTTGAACAGAATTTATCAAATAAAGTACAAATACTGCCTAAAGTTCCTGTAGACAAATTCAGCCTATTTTTTCAAGTACAAGGAAACAAATTCAAAGAGTGGTTAGAAAATTACCTTAGTAGACCGTTGAGGACCATTCCAACAAGACTGACCTCCATCAAAAAGCATGGTTCTATATTTATCATCGTCTGCTCCTATCCACCCACTCCATGAACCCAATCTTGTATCAGCTCCTCCAGACTTGGATCTTTGTGTTGCCTATTACAGCAGAAAAAAATTACAACCTTCTCTTAATTTAGATCAATTGAATGACAAGTTTCAGTACCATTTTCTATTATTCACTTAATTTTATTTACTAATTATTACAGAGTAGACACAGAATGTATTAGTTACAACAGCAACATTGGTAGATAGTTTTAAATAACACTTTCTTTCTTCAGGGAACAAAAAAAATAGTTATTATGAATTAGTTAAAAACAAAAAGGTCTATTAGACAGTTTACAAAAGAATCTGTATAAGCACAGAGCACATTATGTATACCATTATACAACTTTCTATAAACAATCATGTTAAGAATTTAACTTGTGCTGTATTTAACAAGAGTTACAGTCAAATACATAATACTTACTTGATCAAATGGGCAGAGTTTGTATATGTACTCATTGTCAGTGAATTCAAAGCATTCACCATCTAGTGGAGCAAATTCCTCTTCAGGACCATAATCTTTCAAAAGAGTGTCTTTGATTTGCTGGATTTCTCTTTGAATATCTCTGACATTACGATCCGCTTCTTCAAATTCAGATCGAGCTTGGTTTGCCTCTGGAATTTGTTTCAAAGTTCATTGGAGCTTTATTTTACAGTCCGACAAAAGAAAAAAAACAAACTAACCACACTCTTGACACCGAAACCTTCCATTCACTCCTATTCTCACCCCTTAATGCAAATATTTAGGAAACTTTTGCAAGATGTTAAAATATTTTGAACTTGATTCTGTGAATATTTTGTAATCAACTAAAAAATGCAGTTAACACAAATATGTAAATATATCTTTGAATATACATATTGACATATTGAGATTTAATGGAAATGTTCAATTAGCTCCCAGGATTAGGGATTCCCAATCCTTTTCTTGCTTCAACGCCTATTGACAAAATTTGTTAGTTTTATCGATATCTTGGATTTTTCTCTTTCTAATGTATAGCATTAACATGGGTAAAGCAAACTCTGGAGCATTCCAGAATCTCTGTGAAAATTTTCCAAATATCAGTACAGCAAAAATGAAAGAAGGAATTGTTTCCAAATCTGAGAGATTTTAAAAGATTATGCATTCACACAATTGATAACTCCAGAAGAACAAGATGCCTGGACTAGTTTTCAGTGGATGTGTGAACACTTCCAGGTGAAAAACACATCTTTACATTTTGTTACTGGAATCAAGAAACTTCTGTGGACATTTCACAAACTGGGCTGCAGATTGTCACTTAAGTTACACATTCTACACTCCCATGTATATTTCTTCCCTGATAAGCTCAGTGATGTAAGTGATGAACAAGGTGAGCATTTTCACCAAGACATCAAAACAAAAAAGCAACACTACCAAGTTTTCTGGAATGATCCCATGATGGCAGATTTCTGTTGGATGATATATACAGATCTTGAGGTAGTTCACAAGAGAAGTGGGAGTTCATTCCATTTCTGAATAAACTTTATTAAGCTTATTCTTTACTTATAAGGTTAAATAAGCTATTTTAAAAGAAAATGGAATATGGCTGATTTTTTAGTGTAATAAATGAATTTGCTACTGTAGAAACATAGTGGGTGATAGTGCAAATCTGAATGCAAAACAGCAATTTGTGTTAAAAACTTGTTTCATTTTGTAGACCTGTGTTATTAACCAGAATTAAATTACTTGTTACTTTGTTGCAATTTCACAATATTTCCCATTATCTTAGTTGCCACCATGTTCTGATCCCAAGAATTATCATGGAATACCACACATTTCTGCTAAATTATAACAACCCTCACTGCTCACAGAGATACTGCAGTTAGTCACTAGAATTTACACTAGTTATTTCATCAAGTTTTATGAATTCCATTGTTTTTATTTTTTTGTAAATGAAATATTTTATGAATTGTTTGTAAATGTAACAGTAATAACAGAAGATTTAGTAATGTCAAAATGCTACAAAAAGTATTTGAACTTGCCATTTATTAGCCTTTGTGTTTCTTCATCGTATTTTGATGCAGCTTCTTCCACCTCTCCCTTACCCTCATTTGCAGTTTCTCCTTCCTCCTCATCCTAAAACATTGAATTATTAAAATTCAAACAAACACCACAAAAAAAGTTGTTAAGATTAGAAATTATGTTTATTACTACTCTCTTTCCACAAGTGCAGTCAGAAATGTGGTATTCTAAGGAAAAACCCATTTTTATACAAGTTGTTGTGTTCATAAACCATTTCATGAAGAGTTGAACATTTTAATTCATTTGGTTTTAAAATGTTAAGGACTAACATCTTAATATCTTTGAAAAACTACCAAAATTTCATAGATATAAATTAACAGAAAATACCTTAACATGTTAACATGACAAACAAAATAAAATAGTTCTCCATTTTAGAATAATGAAATTCGACAATAAAATTCAGTGAAATTGTGCAAAGCATTAATTCAGAGATCACTCCCATTAAATAATACTTTAAACATTTAGGGTGCACATGCGTATTACCAGGCCTTTCAAACAAATTGATTACATACTACACTTCTGAATAAATTATAAAAGTTTGGAAAAACAATAGTTTGTCAATAAAAAAAACACACTTGAAGAGCCTAAACAGTAATTTCATACCTCTTCATAAGCAGAGGGGTCTTCCTCTTCCGGATGAGGTTCATACAATTTATCATCCTCCTCCTCCTCTTCTTCTTCATCTTCATCATCTTCACTACGATCTAGTTCTTCTTCTTTCCCTTCAGAGATATGCTCCTTTTCCTCCTTAAAAAAAATTGAATACTTTTTAATAGATAGAAAAAGTAGATAATAAAAATAAAGTTAAGCTTTAAAAAGGTGGCCACTCATTTCCTGGAACTAATTTCCCTGTTTTCCAGAATTTTTTATTTTTCCTGGTAAAACTTATAATTTTACACTACAAGAAAATATTAAAGCTACCCTGATTCTAATTGGTCAGCTCTCTGATTTCACACAAAGTACAGAAGAACAATATTTTCTCAACAAATAAAAATTGAGACTAACATAAAGCTAAATTGTGTTTACTAAATTTTATTGTATAATACATAGTTTTATAATTATCTTAAAACTTTCCCTGACTTCTAACAATTCTTCTACAAATTCTTTGATCTTTCTGACATTTTCTAGAGTAATGATTTCCCTGATTTTTCTGTTTCCAGAAAATGGTAGTCCTGTTTAAAGATAATTTTTTATGGTAAATACTGAAAGATAAAGAACAAACAGCCAATTTCAGCAATCGTACATGATAATAAAAAATGTAAAAATCCGTATGTAAACAATGTACATACTTTTATTATTTCTAACAAATACATAATATTCAGATATTACAATTTTTACTCCAAAAATTCTTCAGTGATCTCTTGCAAATCTCTTCAGCAAAAGTAGTGTGAAAGATTAGGATTTGCTTTTTTCAAACTTTCAGAATGAAAATCAACCTTTTATCCTGTTTAAAAGCACATTTCGCTTTGTTTGAGGAAAAGATTTTTAGAAGACATTGAAACTTGGCTCAAAATTATGTGAGTACTACTCATATTTCGAAAAAAAATTGTACACTACTTCACTTGAGGTAGTACGTTAGTTAGATCGACCACAGTGAAGTACCCTCAAAAAATACTTTAAATGAAAGCAAAATATCTATTCTTCACGGTGGAAAGAAAAACATATGTACATAACATACATACATACATACAAAAACATAAACAAGCCTAATATTGAAATTAAATTAATTTACTAATTTGCCAAATATATCTCATTATGAAAAATCTCTAACTTCAAAAACGTAGCTGAAGGTGATGGTTGAAAAAAGTTGACTTTCACCATTTTTTAGATTTCATTGATTACAACGAAAATCTAAATATACCTTCTTCACTCTACCATGCTATAATATATTATAAAATGCTTAAACATATTGCTATACCATATTAAATATGTGTCCTCCCCTACCATTAGTAGGAACCAGTACCTTACCTCACAAAAGACATTTTCAGAATTTTCTTAAAAACTGAGTTAGATTGTTTCATTACATTTATCAAATTTGAATGGAGTGAAGTGCACTCACGTTGCTCTATTCAAATTTAGAAACTGTAATAAAAAAAATGTCAGAACAAATTTTAGGAGGTTCCTGGTTCTGAAAATGTCGTAAGCATTGAAGAGAGGGCACCGGGGAAATAGGGTGGGATGCGAAGGGCAGGGATCATTCTTTTTCCTGTCTAATATTTAACCAAAATAAATAAATGCTTAGAAAACATGGGAGTAAGTTTGCTAGTATATATTAACCCTTAAACAGACACAGAGTCTGCACGATCAGTGTCATTATTTCACGTTGTAGTGATGCAACATCGTTTGGTACACTGGCTGGCCCCACTCTAGTATCTTCTTATTAACCAAGACTACTGCCAGTTAGTTCTAAGTTCAACCCAACAACCAATTTGTCTAATTACCTAAACAGAGTTTGTTACAATATGAACAAGTTCAATTGTTCATATTGTATCAATTTTTAAATCTAGTCAGGAGAAATGGTCTACCCTTTTTGCACAAACAAACTTCCGAGAAAAGGAAAAAAAAAATCTACCAAGTAGCTGCAATTCATGGTTCTTTTGTTTCTTTCATTTGAAATTTTTGATTATCAATGTATGCGAATTATACTAAATCATCAAGTTGATCTTTTAATACCTTCTCTCCAAAAATAATCGCCACAGTTATAATAAATGAGCAAATAAATTGCATAAAAATATCCCTAAGAATGGATTATCAACATTAGAAACATTATCCTAATTAGAGATTATCGACACTCATTTCTGTTTAAGGGTTAAAGAAACAAATGCAATATCCCTGAAATGTTCACAGTAGTTCAAGGACAATAAAGATATTTACAAACATTTTTTTGCATAGAATGATAAAAATCTTAATTTTCGAGTCTTGGAACCTTAATACTGTTTGAGAATTTGATCATTAAATTTCCCATCACTAACTATTACCTGATTATTATCTCCCTCCTGCTTTGCCGTGTGTGTACTGTCCGGACCTTGGAATAGTCCTTTGTCCAGCATGAGGAGAGGTTTCATGCGAGGCCATCCTGAGATTACGAAGTCTTCCCAACTCATCTCTTCTTGTTGATTCAACAAAAACTGAAATGAAAGCAAAAAGAAGTCAATTTTCACATTCCACACGCTATTTTGCAAATGCTTTTAGGGAAAACCCACCTTTGCTTCATCCTCGGAAACTTCTCCATCTCGATTAGAATCAAAGGTCTGTCTCACTTGAAGTTCAGAGAGCTGTAATCTTTATTCAAGGAATGCAATAGGCACACAATAAAAATTTATATTCATCTTTTACAGTCATGGATGTTAACATCATGAAATAAGGTTAAAAATACATACTTTCCATCTTGATTGGAATCCAGTTTATGAAAGTATTCAAAGGCCTCTTGCTCATTTTCTCGTTTTTCCTCTTCATTCTGGGCTTGCTTTCTTTCTTCCTCTTCTTGCTGATACTGTTTTAGAGCACTGCCCTCTAAATCTTCAGCAGCAATTTTAAAGCCTTCCTTCTCTTTCTTCAAACGTTCTGCTTCACCAAGATCTTTCTCAAGTTGATTCAGTTTTTCCTAACATGTTCAAAATAACATATTGATCAACAAAAGAAAAATAATACTTGTTGCTATCAACTGATTTGACACCACTTACACTCTAGGTGAAGCAAATACCTGTTTTTCTTGACGAATTTGTTTTCCTTTTTTACTAAGTTGGATACGCAATTCACTTCCTTGTTTAGTTAACTCTGCCAATTTCTGTGCCTCAGCACGAGCTGCTCTTCCTAATTCATTGCAATTGTTTACACAACTGGCCTGACTAGCATATTCATCAGATGTATCACAGCAATCTAGAAATTATCACAGGTAAACATTTCAAAAACAAAATTTCAAATTTGAGTTCATTATTCTAGAAGAAAGTCACTTCCACAATTTTTAAAGTTCAATACTAATAGTCAGGGAATTTGTTTAAAAAACTTAAAAAGAAATAAAATTGAATTCACTATTCTTCCTCCTTACACTCCATAATTGTTATATATGGAAAGGAATTAAATCATAGATTGACATGTTCAGTCTCTAGTATTAACGCAGACGTGGCTGAGCTGGATCACAACCCTAAATGAGTGTTCACAATTTTTACTGCCAAGCAATCAATTCAGTATTATGACATTAACCAAAGAGCTTCTAAAATTTACCTGTAGCAAATTTGACTTTTATATTTGCCAAGCAATTTAATAACAGATTAATTCACTATGATGATCCAATGAGCCACAAAGTAAATTCGCAGTTCCTTTTCTAGCTGGGATCTCCAATAAATTGAATATTCATAACCAAGGATGAATAAATGTTTAAGAAACAAAGATTATAGATTTCCAAATTAATAATTTTCAGCATACAAGATCCAAGTTAACTAGTAAAAAGGCAATTTCAAATCGTTTCAAGCATTCTACATTGAAATTATGTTTACAAGAAACGAATGCCATTAGAAATAGACATGGATATTCCTATTATCTTGGTATCAAAGATGACTTTTGATGTCCCTTATGAAAGAAGTACTTGAACTGAAATCAGCTCATTAAGCAGTTTCACAACAAATTTAAATAAAATGACATACCACTCCCAAACATTTATCAGAGGAAAAAGCAATATGGCAAAGATACAAAAGAAAAGAGAAGAAGTTCATGTTTTACCATGACCTGAACTGTAAGATTAAATAAATAAAACAAACTTAAAACTTAAACACATAAAACATACTTCACACATTAAATAATACTTCAAAATCATTACAAAAAATAAGACTGGTCACATAACTAACGTGGTGGACAGTTTATTAGGTTTTATGAGCTCTGGTATTTGCAATTTTCATGCTATATAACATACCACAAATGCCATCATTTACTCTGGAAGATGGAATGTTTAAAGGTTTGTGCCCTGCATTAGTGCAATGAAATGTTCCATTGGGACAAGCAGGTGTTCCAGGTTCATCACTACCATCTTCACAATCACAATAGTCATCATTAACATAAATAAATGGAACTGTAGCACTACCATCCATGCACGTGAAATCTCGCTCAGGGACATAAAACGAAGCTTCTATAAAACAATGAAAGGAATACATTATGAAATAACATCACTCTTGTATCATTTACATTTATTTATTATTATAAATATAATAAAATGAGTGAACACGAACTTACTCGATATCGACACACCACGAGGCCTTAAAATTTCAGATGCATGGCTCACTTGTAACAAAACAACTAATGAACTGAATACCAAATGTGCATTATAGAACATTCTCTCGAAAGAACCTATTCTGCCGATTACTAGCATTTTTCACAATCGGTGGTATAAAGTAAGATACTTCAGCCCGAATTATGAAGAATGTGCGATACAATAACCAACACTCCACGGAAGTTTTCACTCGTAAATTTTAAATCAGTTTTTTTTTATTTAGCTGTCACAACACGTTGGATGGCAAATCATCGACAAAATTCATTTCACATGCGGCAAAACTCAGAAAGTACACGTAATAACCTTTGACGTAAAGCATATAAACAAATGAAAACAATACACTATCGTTTGCGATTGCCGGTCTGCACAAGTGTTTAATGTTTTCCCCAGTATTTTAGTAATTACACGAGAAACTTTACACTACAGGCATTCATTCTCACCAAAATGAATAATGACAATTGACAAAGAAATTTGAAACAACAAAGATTTCGATGAAAGCGAATAATTAAAGGACCCTTTTATAAAAAAAAATTGCAGAAACCCAAATGTTTGCAACACTGTCTCGCTATCTCACGCTATGTTGCTTTCTACTGTCAGCATTATGATTATGGGGGGTTGGTCTCGTCGCGAACCTGGAGTGAGCGGAAGAGAAAAGTTGCGCGAATTGTCAGCATTGTAAGGAGCAAGACAGATGTGATTTCTCAGTGGCGTGTGAGTTTTCAGAATACGATGAAAGTTGTTTGACAGTGAGTGTATTTTGAGAAAGATTCAACCAGTGGGTTCATCTAACTGCATTGGAATGGCGAGTGTACCGAGAGAAACTATACAGAAACAGATTCAACAAGATTGGGCCAACCGTGAATATATTGAAGTAATCACAGGGAGCATTAAAAAAATAACCGACTTCTTGAACTCATTTGGTAATATGAATTATTTTTTCATAAAGAATTTTACTTTGAAAGGTTAACCTGCAAAAATCACATAAGCTGTTATAAATTTTTTTTTTTTAGTAGTTTACTAGCTAATAAGTATTTTTCTTCTAGATATGTCTTGTCGATCACGATTAGCTGTTTTAAATGAGAAACTTACTACATTAGAGAGGCGAGTTGAATATTTAGAAGCAAGGGTGAGTAAATCATTTTCAGGATGTGAGAGGTAAAGAATAATTCTTATTTACTCATTGAACTTTTTTTTTTCTAGGTGACCAAAGGAGAAACATTGACTTAAAGAACCAATCATAACTATGTACAAATTTTCATTTAATAACACTTTCATTTATATGCACCTCATTTAATGTTGATGTAAGTTATATACAATTTAATAAATGTAATTAATTTCCATTTATTGTGGTCTTTAATTTTATCAATATGGTATAGAGGAAGAACAGCTATTGGGGGGAAGAAATTTTTAAACCATACAGAAATACTCTCATGAAAGAAAATCATGTCTATTTCACCAAATAAAATATAATTTTTTTACTATAAACAAACATTTCACCTTCAGAAATGTAGTGTATAAAAGTCAACACAAAAATATGTTCAATTTTTGAAGTCCTAAATTTTTTTTCAGTCCCATAACAATAAATAATTCTAGTTTCTTGGTTAATCACTAAATCTTCCCTCTCTACTGTTTTGGGTAACTTATCTTGTTCACCATAATATCAAGAGAGCTCCTGAGAGATGAATGGGACATCGTGATTAGTAAACCAATAAATCAAAGGTTGATTTCTTTCCACAATATGGGGCTCAAGTCTCTGGTTTTGCTTTGGCTGGTCCTGATACTACAACACCAGCTTCTCCGGATTCAAGTTGTTTTAGAAGTCTAAACAGGGCTGCAGCTTCTCGAATGCGACTAAACTCAATGCAGAAAGCCTGGACTTCAATAAAAAGCTCCTGAAAGCGCATGAAGTATGTCAAAAGAAGGCCACTTTCTTAAGAATTCTTGAAATATTAAATACCTGATTGTGTCACATACCTGAACATTTATTATTTTATTCCGTATTAAAGACTGTAGAAAAACACACACCAAACGGACCAATCTATTTTGCATGTATCTATCCTTTATGGTTTCACAAGTTGAAATGCAATTGGAAATGTAGAGGTGAACAAATTCTGTAGGAAGATCTACAGTAGTAGTAAGCCTGCGTAAACAATATATAAACGTGAACAAATGATGAATTAAATTAATTTTCAAATAGATTTTTATTATTTTTTGTACCTGTTAACAACTTCCATAGAATGTAGTGACATTTCCATATTTACAAGAACACTGAAGTACTCTGTAATCTGACTAGATTGCATTAATTTAAGAAGAACTTCAATAGCAATTAGTGGATTACTTTCAACCAAATCTGGAAGCTGCAAAGAAATGTTTAAAATTTGGTTGTTTTTTTGGCATTTATCATTTCCAGAAAAGAGAACAATGAGAAAACATCAACATTTATGTTACTTTGCTTGGAGTCAATCCAATATGATAGACAAGTTTGGGATCATTGTCTAAAACAGCACGCAAATGTTGCTGCTGCTGAACAGTCAAGGCCCCTTTAAATGCTCTTGCCATTAATCTTTTTGCTTCAACTCCTTCACAATTAGATACACACATTGTCACATCATATGCACATTTATGTTCAGATGGGCTAGACAAATTTAACCATACTAGCTGAAACAAGATGTTTTATGACAGTTTGCTTTACATTTAACAGTGTCATGCAAATTCAATATCAAAACATCACGATTTACTTCTCTTACCTCATCTTCACAGCTATGAAGTGGAGGGACAAGGCGCAGAAATTCAGGCTTATAACACTGGTCTACATAGGGTTTAGGCCCAGTCAACAAAGCTTCAGCCGTTTTCTTTATTACACTTGAATCTGGATATAAACTTTCAGGTAACGAGGCAAAGAAAATCATTAGATTCAGAAATTTTGAATTATAATTTCACAATTCAATGTAATTTACTCACTTTTTTGACCCCGCTCGTGGCTCAACATCAGGAAGAACAATAGGGACAGCTGAACGACTTGTATGAGGTAGTTCCGACTGTCTTTCAGCTAATGCAAGTTGAATTCCAGTTATGTCAACATTATGAAAATTTCCAATATCACTGCCAAGAATTTGACTTGGTGTTTTCTTAAACATCTTCTAAAACATTAAAATAAAAAACATTATAGACAGAAATATAGATTTTAAAATAATTTTTCAGGGTCTGGATTTTTAGATTCCTTCATTTATGATAAACACAAATTTGAAACAAGTGTAAAAAATATCATAAACTTGCTTAAGTAATTTACATATTTCTTTAGGGCAAGGGGGAGGGTTTTTTATTAATCAATTTTTTTTAACTAGTGTTTTTAGTGAAACTTTAATGTACGATTTTCTTTCTTCAAAGCATACAACTAAATTCAGAAAATTTGGACAATCATGTGAATAAACTGTAACAAATAAGTTAATACCCGAGTATTATTTTTTTTCATTTCTTTGTCAGTTTTCTTGATAGAGTCGGTATTGAAGTTATACGTTGAATAATATTTCTGTCTTGACAGCTAGTGGCTGACTGGGGAGAATAGGTTCTGTTAACCAATTAGAGGCTTCAAATTCTGCTGACATCACTGCAGAGATGCTGATACTTATTAAGAAAAAAAATGCAGTCTTAGTGTAAATTGAGGAGAACTTCTTTGGTTATTTATTGAGTGTGTGATTCTGTGACATCAACTGCTCTTACTGTGCTCTGTTTGTTGCTAGTGTTGTGATCTCATAAAAGAACAATCAAATTTTTCACAATCAAATCAATCACATTTTTTTCCTGCCCGAGTAAGTGGCAACATTGCTTTACCTCCACTCTAGGTGTCAAGTAGACAGAAATATTACTCAGCCCATAGACAGCATTGGATGCTTGTTTATATGTACTTGGTAACTTGTTTACAACATTACCAATAATTATTTAGTTTACAAATTAGGTGAGAAGAATATTTTTATTTTGAACTTGGTTCCATTTCACTACAGAACAGTTTCAGCATGACAAATACTATTCATCCTTTTGAAACTAAAATTTTCATAGAAAAATGCACATTCAATGGTAAAAAAATGAGTTTTATCACCATGAAATACACTATATTTCAAACATCCAAGGAAACATTTATATGCATGTGTACAGGTGCCCCCTCCCTCCACTGAATATTTCAAAAGGGACCCTTATAAAACAAAACATCTTATTTCCTTAAATATGATTGAGCCCTGATTTTCCCCCATTTTTAAGCTAACAACTTGGACAATTGACACAAGATTTTTGAAAAAGGCTTTCTAACCCATCTAGCAACCCTGTTGGTTGATTGAACATAAAACCAATTGCATTCATTAATGGTTGGTTAAACCATTTGTATTTATTAATAAATTTTATGAGTTATATCATTTTACTTATAATGTTTTATTTACTAGTAAAATAAATCATTTGCAAATGAAGTTAAATGAAATGAGGGTACAGAGAGACCGAGAAATGTATTTGGCTCCTCCATTTCATTTTAGGCTGAAAACACCAATGGAACCATTACTTACTTCTTTAGGAGGATTTGTCATCAACTGGGCCAAAAAGTGTTTCTCAACCGGGCATAATCTTGGTAGCTGGCCTGCATACTCCAATTTGCGAGCAGAACCCTTATTTGTTTCCTCAGGAGGATGCTGAAAAATAATAGAAGCAATAAAATAATTTTTCAAAAATCTAGACATTTTATGTCTACAGCTTATCATTTTATTGATATCATACCAAAAGATGGATGAATACTGTTGCAAAGGGATTTACAGCCATAGAGTCTCCTCTATACAGGTCATGGAGGAGGTAGATAGCGGCTAGCCTTTGAGTAGGTTTTGGAAGCAAGTCAGCTTGTTGAAGGAGAAGAACAATGGCACAACCAACTACAACATTACATACAAATTATTACAAACATTGAAAGAAACATTTCATTCCCTTTTATTTCATAAAACCACTAAGACAAATCAGAATTTTATTCTTTTGGTGTATTGTTAGTCATTGTAAGATTTAAACAAGTACATCTTGTAACACACAGATGTAAAATGTTATTCTGGTAAATCTCAAAGAATATAACCTCTTACTATAACAAACCTTTTCTGTGAAGAAGAAAAAAAACACCAAATGACTCACACGTTTAAAATGTGTCTCTTGTCACAAAATAATCCATACTAAACTGAGTATACGAAAGATTCCAAACATATCTTTCAAACCCAAGTTTTACTGACTCTGGAGTTTTCTCTGACAATATTGTACATTTTTGATAAAATTCAATTACAACAAAACTTCTGAGAGATTTTGAACCAAAATGCTGAAAAAACATAGGTGAAATGAATTTTTTATGAAAAACCTACTGTTGAACTAAAAACCTTATTATTCCAGGCTGTAGTACTAATCTCTTCATATTTTAAGATGACCGTTGAGCTTATACAAAATGATCAGATATTAGAAACATTTCAAACAGAGCACTCAGTAATTTGTCATTAAAATAGTTCTTTACTGATATGGCATATCTTTTATGCACTTCCAGAGTTTCTCTTTCTTCCTCAAAGGTTCATAGATTCTACTGGAGGTCTGACTTCCACCATTTTTTCCCCATGACCCACACACTACCATCCATAGATTATATTCCATCATCTGTTTCATTTCACCCTAGATCTCTTCTTATGTCATCTCTTTATGCTCGTTACTCCTTTCAGATGTCCTATTTGCACTTTTTCTTGAAACCCTTCACTATCTCTTTTCAATCTATCATATTTAGATAAAATTAATAACTTTTGTTAACCATATTAGTTTATATTTTTTATTTACAATAAAATATTTGATGTGTTGAAGAAATCAAAAAGACTGCAATAGAAAATTTACCTTGCAACAGACATTTTATTTCCAAATATGAGATCCCACACTAAGTAATGAAAAAAACTAAGCTTTAAAATAACTTCAAAAAAACTGTACACAACTTCTTCCATTTAAAAAAGCAGAAATATACAAAATCAACCGAGGTGCATTCATGGTATGATTTAATACATACACATAATAAATTTGAGAACATTTTATTCTAAGGCAATAAAATGCACCAATAATTATTTTTAGAACATACAAGCTTTTTTTTCTGAAAAGATTTTAAACATGAGAATGCTTTAAAATTTTACCAAGTTCATGGTTTCTTATTTGTTTAAGAGCAAACTATTTCTACGGCATTACAGCTGATGATTGATAAAAGGTAGTCTCAGAGATAAGACAGTACTACAAATGCAGCATTACATTCCAGGTGAAGAATATTGAGAAAATAATGATTTAATTGTGTAATGATTATAATTAGACAATTAAAAAGCAACATTTCTGAGCAGCAGTGCAGTGAATATGACCACAGCATATTAAAAAAACTTCAATAATATTCTTCTTAAGCATTTCTTAACTCACGTTAAAAGACTTGTTCAATGTACTTATGAAGAGAATACATACCTTTATAGTAGTCTTGTTTACTAAAGCATTGATGTAATTGAGCTGACAGAGACTCTAGTGACTGAGTTTCAGTATTTTCTTCTCCCAGAATTCTGAAACAAGGGTAATATGAAGTGAAACAGGCTAACAGAATCACAAAACCAATTTTAGAATTTTAAATACTCTTAAAAGATGAAAATTGCACTTATTGAAAACTTCGTTAACATCACAAAATAGCTTACCCCAATAAGGACGATAACTCCTTAGCTGACAGCGACATAATGGATAACATAAAATTCCATACACTCTAATGTCTTAAGATGAATTATCCATCAGTTTCCATACACACTTCTCATGACCATGCCATCACAATTCACATTCATCTTCTATCCATGCTGCGACCATCGTTTTGTTTTCTTGAATATATCTTGAATATAATCGATCATTCAGTGTTTCGATTCTTCAGTAAACAGCGAGTTTGCGCACGCCACGGCGGACAGCACTATCGATCTTCTACGCATGCGTAGATGCACTAAAGTGATGCAAAACTTGAACTGCGCATTCGCACAAGGTCGATAGTGCTTTTACGTTCGAGGGTGCACAAACTCTCTAACTTCTGGGCACCTCGTTCGTTAGGTCACTATCGATCTTATACGCATGTGCAGATAAAGTTTCATATCATTATAATGCCAATACATCACTATAATGCTAAGTAATGAGAAACACGAAATGCGAATGCGCAGGTCGATGATTCTGACAATTACTATAACGCTTCGCCGTGCTCACTATTACTTCCATGTTAACAAACTATTTTGTTAAATTTTTACACCATTTTTATTCTGTCCTGACATTAAACGAACATTCAACTTGGAACTAATGGTGCTACAACAGCACTTACTTTCTCACACTTATTAATGGTTACGTAGACTTGGGTTTTTATTTCTTGGTGTGCGAGGCCTTTTCACAATGAAATCTCATAGTATTTCACGTCTTTCACAGTCGTGCCGCTAGATGTCGCATGATCGCGACCGTATCGAGCAGTGCTGGCGATCATGCGTATCTAGCGGCGCGACTGAGAAAGGCGCGAACTATCGTGAAGATAAGGTCTCACGCGCCAAGAAATAAAACCCCAAGTATAATATAGTACAGCAAAGCGGCCCATATAATCACATCTCAGCCATCGCTAGTACACTAAAACCAATCGTATAACATTAGGTGCGAAAACTAATTATTTTAAAACTGATACATCAACACAAATTCGACAATTAAATCTTCGCCACATCCTTCATCACACACTAAAACCAAAAATAACGGATAGACGTTCTCACCTTCCAAAGAACATTGTTTATATTTCGGGGAAGTGAAGATGTGTTTGGAATGTCATCAGTGCTCGCTGCAAGCTTTTGCCTTCGATTGTTTATTGTGACAGAGGGGGAAGCAAGGTCATCGTTCAAGAAAAGTTGCGCGAGTAATATTCTGCCGTTCTCTCCGGTCGTCAGCGATGTCAGTCTCGTTCGGTACAAGTTTACACTCCTTATTTCTGTGAAATTTTCATCTTCGCCGTTCTAAAATTCTTCCCACTACTAACACTTACACGCATAGTATCTCGGCACATATTTTTTACTTTTATCACTCACGTCTGCCGCAATCAAATGCTCAACTTTTACTGACTGCCGCGTTCTGATCTTCCACCCACAACCACAGTTCGTGCTATTCTGCCCACGCAGTTCATAATCCCCGCCGCTAAATTGCTTTTTTCGCTATTCGATATCCAGAATCTTGCTTCGATATTCGATTTCAATATTCAGTATCTGTCTCAAAACCGTTCCTTCTTCGTAAATCTTGCGCCTCTCCCCTTCTTGTTTAATGTCTATATTTCTCCTGATTGGAGAAATACCTATGCTTCTCACACTCTTTTTTTCGTGATATCCCATCTCCCTGTAATTTTTTAAAATTTTAATAATATTCAAATTATCATCATTAATTACATCCAAGTTACGTGAGATGGAACTAGAAAAACCGTAATGTATAGAATGTATAATATACTCAATTGATAACCCTACACTCCTGATGAAGGCCAACTATATGGCCGATACCTCGGCAATGGAATGTTGTTATATTATTGTATTGACCAAACCCAAGAACCACCAGAATACTTTTTTTCACATTTTTTTTAAATTTTCGACTCCCTAATAATTCAATTGAAATATGATATAAAGAATATTACAGAAGGGTAAAATTTGGTCATATGAGTACATGTCCATTAGAAAATTTCGAGCCTGTTTAAGAAAATGTCGCTTGCACGCAAATGAAAATGTGCATTTTGATACTCATTTCCACCTGAAATGTTTATGTTTTCGAGAAACTTCATTAGAAGTTGTTGTATCCCTGCTAGTCTGATTTGCATAAATGTATACAAAAATCCGATAATGTAAATAACGACTGGAAATATATTTAAAAAAATACCTTTCTTTGCAAAAAATATATTTCTTTTTAAAACAAACTTTCTTATTAAAAAAACTTTCTTGTAAAAAAATGGTGGTGCTCATGCAGCACGTAGTTTCTCTCCCTTAGTAATCGTTATGTAGTACTATTTATACCATAGAGTATAGATAAATTGTTGTATCTCTCCTCTATGATTTATACCCCAATTTCTCTCCGAATTAACACATCTCGGTCATTATTTTTACAAAACTCATTACAAATCGTAGAACATTTGGTGCGAAAACTAAATATTTTCAAGCAAATATCAACAAAAAGTTGACAATTACAACTGCTTTTCATACAGCTAAATCATGTCTCAACAATGACACATAATTTACAGAAATTCAGCTGCCGTCTCGCTATCGATATTCTTGCCAAACTGATATTCCCTGAAGACTAGCAATTTTTCTTTCTTTTACATTTAAATCGTAGTTTTCAAAAGAAAGTCCAATTGGTCTAATTTTAATTAAGGTTTGCGGTTTGATTAAAATAAAATATATTATTATGAATACATTGTGGATTGTGTGGATGTGGATTATCAGATAAGTTTTAAATAATGTCTAAAATATTAATTTGCAAACGTATAAAAAAGCTCGAATGTAAGAAACGAACAAAGAAATATGAAACAATATACAAATTCTAGTATACGGAGCATCTAACTGTCTGAAATCACTCCTCATATTACGTATAGGAAGCGCAGGAAATTCGAAGAGGGCGACCATGTTTGACGCCAAATTACACAAAAATATTAATTTTTTCGAAAAATTCAGCATGACATTAAAAATCTGTATTTGATGAACGAATTTCATTAAGAAACTAGAGGCACTGCAACAGCACATACTTTCTCGCATTGTTGGAAAGAGTTACGTAATATTAGACTATTGATAATTTATGCAGCAGTAAGAAGTCAATTTTAAGAAGGAAAGTCTAATTCAAACAAATCACCGCTCGTGGTTATCTTCATTTATTTCCATTGTCAGGAATAGTAGTTATTTCTTAGTTTTAGAAATGAAACAAAAATGAATAAATTTAAATGTTACAGTATTTACAGAACATAACACAGAAAAGTAAGAATAATTTCACACAAGCCTACCGTGATTATATTTGAAGTGAGCTTTCAATATTTTAATAGCATAATGAGTAATTAAAACTTCTTAAAGTATAGAAGTGTGTTTGTTAGTTCTAAATTAAATTGTATTACATATTACCTTTTATAAAAATATTACCTGCATCATACAACCGTCATGACCGCCAACAATGGGATGAATTCGAAGAATTTTGAAACTTCTATGTCGTTATATTCCGAACTGGCAACGCCTGAAACGATGCGCGTGAAACTCGAATTTACAATTCCGAACTCTTTTTTATTTTTATTTTTTTTATTTTCGACCACTGTCTTTACACATGAGAAGAAAAATGAAAGATAACATTTGAAGCCGTTCCTGGGAATGTTGTTTAAAATGGTTTTAAAAGCGCTTATGTTTCATCTAAAATTACGCAAAAATACTCATATTTTCGAAATATTGAACATCAGGGTTTTCAACCAACATGAGACCTGCACCATTCTCTTAAACGTCCTTAGTAATGTCCAATAACAAAATCGAATAGAAAACATTGCAGCCATTTAAACAAAAATTGGAAATGTCCCAGAAGCCTCATGTAAAGTAACCCCAAAAATTAAAATATCGGTTTCAAAATCAAGAGACCGGGATCAGTCAGATCGAAAAGGGGATGACAATTTTGGAGAAAATTTGTCTAAACGGTAGCTAAAAGCTAATTGAAGAAGTCGCCTTTCATGGAAAAAAGAAATTGGATCCGTTTTTGCGAAGATGACGTTTGAGTGTTTATGGAAATACGGAAGTGTGAGGTAAATTTCACACAAATTATTTGGGTTGTCGCGTTAAAGAAAGTTTTAAAGAAAGTATTTGAACGTACAGTAAAGTATAAGGCGGAACCTGGATAAGGTGGAAACCTGCCTTCGCCGGAAAAATATCTCAGAACGGAATATTTTTCAATGCAAAGTACACTGGTTAAACCGGAACCCTGCTTAACGGAAAGGAATTGTTTAAATTAGGACGTTTAAATTATCTATTAAAAATTCTGGATGAGACGGAAAACAAATATTGTTTTAAATTTGAACATTGACTTTTTAAGAAGACGGGACGGGCCGAATAGTTTATCTTTAAGAATTATGATTAAACATTGACTTGTATGGCGACGTAGTATCAAGAGACACTCAGAGTTGTGCTCGTCTATTCGCTTTCTCAACTACCCTCGTCCGAACATCGTATTTCCAATACAACTTGTGCGAAAGCACCGTTTATTTGCAATAGCACTGGCTTTCGCAAGTCCGTGTGAAGGAAGGACAGACGCAAAGATCGATCCTTCCTCAGATTTTGTAATGCGTGCTTTAGATTTATTGGTTCTAAACGTTTACTGTTGTTCAGTTCGAGTTGCAGTTAATCAAGTGTTTAAGATCTTAGCCGATAAATCGGAAACGTTTGTGAGAAAATTAGACTAATTAAAAAATACGAACAAAGCAACACGCCTGCAAAGATTTTGATACATCAATTTAAAGTTGTGAAAACGCCATTGTATGAGATATTTAAAACAAAGACGAAATCAAGGATGAGTGGTTGAAAGAAATGTTTTATAGGTAGTTGAAATAATATTCCCGAAGACAGACGAGTAGCTGAAGCGTAAATCATTAGATAAATTCATTTCCTCCTCCAAATCGCAAAGAAAATAATATTTCCTTTATTTTGTATGGAGTTTTTTGAATTATTAGTCTTTGTGAAGAGTTTCTGTCATTTTCTTTGTCTCCCCCGGGACGTTTCCATTTCTTTGAAATGCAGTTTTTAGGTGAGATGAACTACTCCTACAACATATCCCATCTTTGAACGATTGCGTTTTCTGAATTGGCAGTTTTTATTGCAAGCCTGAATAAGCCGGAAATGTGCAATAATATATACAAAGAGCCGATAATGTAAATATTCATGACGAAAGAGAATTTAAAGAAAGTTACTTCTGTTTATTTTTTAAAATAAA